GCCAGTGATGGTGAACCTATGACACGTGTGTCAGAGGTGACACGCAAACTCCTTTTTTTTGGTTGATTTTTCTTTGTTAAATGGCATTTAAATATATAAAATAAATATCAAAAATATAAGTCTTTGTTTTACTATGGTTGCAAATATCAACAAATTTCTATATGTGACACGGCACCAGAGTTAAGTTAGGGTTTTTCAAAATGCTGACACGCTGAGCTCAAAAGGTTCGTCATCACTGCCCTAGGGGTACAGAAATGGGCAAAGTAGACATCATTTCTGTTCTACAGAGGTGAACGTGGAAGGCAACTAAGCAATTACAATATAGTGCAGGGGAACTAAGATCGATAGATTACAGAAGCATGTAGAGAATCTAACCTGGCCAGCACAGGAAGAATGAGGGGCAGTTAGCCAGGTGAAGACAAAAGGGTAAAAATGTTTCAGGCAGAAGGAACAGCATGTGCAAAGGCCTGGAGGTTAGAGAGCGAGCTTGGGGCCTTTGGGGAACTCAAATTAGTTGATAGAGCTGGGAAAGAGAGTGTGAGGCTATGATGAGGGTGAGAATGTAGAGGTAAGCCAGATCACAAAAGGCCTTTGAAGCTAGGATACAGATTTTGGACTTCATCCTAAGGATAATGGGGACCTCTAAAGGCTTGCAAACAGAAAGTCATCATGAGGTTTGTGCTTCAGAATGATCATTCTGGTTGTGGAGAGTGGATTCTAGAGAAACACTCCTGGAGGGAGGAAGAGCAGTGAGGAGGAGGCTTTTGTAGTGGTCAACACAACTGGCCCAGTAACACATGAGTCCTCTCCCATTAAGTGGTGCCATGGCCAAGTAATGGCAGTAATAGTTGGACAGTCAAAATTTTTGAGAAGTAGAATTGGCAGGGCTTGGGATTGACAGGCATCTGGGAGTTGAGGAAGAGGCAAGGCTGACTCCTAGGTTTCTGGTTTGGGCAAAGGCTGGGGGTGCCATACACTGTCAAAGGTAACATCAAAGCTGTTAGCACATAGTTTCAGGCACATAGTAAGTACTTGGTGATGACTAGCTACACTTTCATAAGTTCAGTTTTAGATGTGTGGTGTTAGACAAATATCCAGTAGGGAGTGGGATATGTGGGTCATGAAAAGACTCAATATGATAATGTGCATAGGCATTAAGAGCAGTGCCCTGAACACAATAGGCCCAGTAAACTTGAATCCTCTTCCATTAAGTCTCATGAAAAGAAAACACAATAGTACATTTATTACTGACACCCTTCAGGGACGACTTCAACTAGGGTTGGCATCTGAAGGAAGTTTAGATGGCACTCAGAAGAGCTTTTTGATGGTCTCTCTTTCAGTCAATCTACTGTATTAGTTGGCTCCTAAGACACAACAAGCCCCTACCTCTCACAACAGCTTCTTGGTTTATGAGCTCAGTGGAACCCCACAACTACTCCCTGAGGTAGTCTGAGCAGGCATTATCATTCCCATTTTACACATAGGTAAATTTGAGACACAATGACTTGCTCAGGGTCCTACAGTTGGTAATGGGCCATCCATGTCTGGAACTGAGGTCTTCCTGACTCCAAAGCCTGGGATCCTTTCCTGTGCACCATCATGCTAATTTATTGAGCACTTACTATGTGTCGGAACACTATCAGACCCTTTATGAGTCTGACCCTTAAATTAGAATCATCATTGCCATTTTATAGAGAAGCAGAAATTGAGCTTGGGTGGATGTTAAATGACTTGCCAGAGAGCACACAGACAAGAGAAGAGCTAGATTAGCTTGTAACTCTCCAGCTGCTCAGTAGCAGAGATTTTACCAACCCCATTGTGAGACGCTGGCTAGTGACAGAGATGGATACATAAAGTTATGCTCAAACCAGGTAAATTCAGTTTCAGAAACAAATAAATAAAAGGCGGCTATGCGGCGCCTGCGCACTAGCCACAGGGGCGGGGAGGTCAACGCGGGGGCGACAGTGTGGTAGGGCCAAAGAGGGCGTGTCTGCTTCCCAAACACCGACATTCCCCACGGTGCATGTCTGTCCCTTGGTTGGCTCGCCGGCCCCGAGTGACGGCGCCTCTTAACCAATCACCGCAGTTCTCAGCCCTTTACACAGTGAAGCACCGCCCTCCTGTCCACGGGTGTGGATTTACAGGTGGGTGGGACCGGAACTGACGCTACAAGGGATTGCTATGCTCTGGGAGTGTTGATATTTTCCTGTCAGTCCAACTGACAGCGGCCAAGTTGGAAGCCTGGAAGGGAGGCGCTTTTGAAATTGTCGTGTGCGGGGCAGGTCAAGGTGTCCTGCCTGTCGCTGTACCGCCGCCTGCGAGTCAAAGCCTCAGGGAAAGAAGTCAAGAGCAGGACGGCGCGGACAGAAGAAAGGCCAAGAACCGGGGCGCCGACTTTGAGTGAAATCTGAGACGGAGGGCACGGGAGGGCGATCGCTCACCTCTGATTGGCCCTTGGGCGTCAGCGAGGACCCACGCAGCCACTTCGATAGGTTGGTGCCCGCGATTGTTGTGGCGGCGGCGAGGATTTTGCCCACGTACTTCCGAGCCAGAGGCGGGGCTGTGCTCTGGCGCGCTTGCGCGGCGCCCCTGGACCCCACCCGGTAGTTCAAGAACCTGCGAGGGGGCGGGGCGAAGAGGTGCTTGTTTTGGTTCTGTCTCCCTGGAACGGGAAGGCCGGAAAGAGCGTAACAATCAACTTGCCGAGCTCCGAGAGTCGGCGACGACACTCGTCGCGCTGCCTTCACCTTCGACTTCACATCCGGGTTCTTCCGTCGCGTGACCTGCGCGTCGCCTACGGCTCTCGAACCGGTGCCTCTCCGCCGATCCCGTGGTGCTCCGCGCACCACTTTAGCCCCTCATCCGGGTTCTGTCCCGGCGTGCCGCGCGCCGGGTTTGCTGGGGGGTACTCGGCGGTGCCGCCATGACTATTCTCCCTAAAAAGAAGCCGCCGCCTCCCGACGCCGACCCCAC